AATTTGTTTTTTGGGAGTTTTAGGTTTTTTTTTTTGGGGGTTGGCCGGGGGGTAAACGGATGGACAAGGAAAGGAATTTAATTCCCGTTGGGGCGAAAAAAAAAAATTTTTTTGGAGGGGGGCCAAGGATGGGGTGTTTTATTTTGGTTTTTGGAAGGGGGGGGGGGGGGGGCGAACAGGGTGGGGTTTGGGGGGGATTTTTCCCCCCCCTTAAAAAAAAATTTTTGGGGGGGGGGGGGGCTTTTTTTTGGGGATTGGGGAAATACTTAAGGGTTTTCCGGGTTGGGGAATGGGAAACCTGGTTCGGGGAAAAACCGGGGGTTTTCTTTCCGGGTTTTGTGGGGGGGGGGGGTAAAGGTTTAAAGGATTGGGGAAGGAAGGATTTGGGGTCCCCCCCCCCCCCCCCCCCCCCTCACATCGTTGCTTGCAGAGGCTTCACGGCAACCGATCTCCTGGCGTGGGCAGTACTAGGGGCGGTGTGCGGGCTCGTCGGCGCTTGGTTTGTGGCGGTGCTGGATGCTCTCTCTCGCAGGCGTAACTTCTTCACTCGCAAGGACCTCGACCCCTCTACCCGCACGAAGCGAATGTTCGGTGAGCGGGCGCGGGAGAGTGGTACCGTCGCCATTGTTGTCGGTTGTTGTCGTTGGTATTGGTGGTGGTGGTGGTGGTGGTGCGAGGTTTGATTGTGTGTTTTCCTACAGATTGTATTCTAGCCGTTGCCGGGTGGACGCGAAGCCTGTATTCAGTATGAGACGCACCCATTGTCGTTGTTGTTTGTGTTGTTATTGTTGCGCTGTTGCTGCTGGTGTGTTGTTGGTGGTGGTGGTGGTGGCGGTGGTGGTGGTAGTAATCGTGCGCTCCCTCGCGGTAGTAGTGGCGACCCCGCTTCTTGCGGCCTCTCTGGAAAACCGTGTAGACCCTAACCTTCTCCTTCCTGCCTTCCTGCCTACCCTCGATCCTCGCAGTCGTTGTGGCCTTGGCGACCCTCCTGGTGATACCGGCCTCCTTCACTGAGGATGTGGCTTTCAGCGTCGACCGTGCGGGAAGGGCCAAGTACCACCCCTTAATCGACAGCATCTACGACCAAACGTGAGCTCTCTGTAGTAGGCCTATGCGTACGACCGCCAAAAAGCATGGCAGATCGACGTACCATCCCCTGATCGACAGCATCGACGACCAACCGTGTTGGCTGCGGTAGGGATATCTATGCATACGGACACCGAAATGGAAAGCGGGCCCGCAAGGCACGGGCGATGTTGAGTTGGATCTACGACGCAAAAGCAGGGCAGATCTATGAAGGTGTATCGAGCCACGTCTTGCAACCTAAGATTTATTGCGCGACTGAAATTTGGGTCATGTCCTGTACGACGGATGTTTTGCCGGTTGTACCATCGAAACCACATGTTAGACAATTACATACAAAAGTTAAGACAGATCTACAAATCAGAAAGTTATTGCCTAGACCCCGGAACGATTGGCCATCGGTGATCGGTCCTGTGGGAGTAGTTCTCCGTCTTGCCGAGGACGCGTGGTCAAAGGCCAAACAGCTGAGGCGTGCGAAACATGAAAACGACTCCCCCACCGAACATGAATACCTCACGGCGCTTCGCGCTTGGTGATGTGACAGCCTTTGGTCCGGCGAAAACCCGGCGTGCTCCAGCTTTGTAGGGATGCGAGGTCAATGGTCTATTGACTCTGTAGGGCATGCACGGCTGTGAGTACACTCCCCACCCCGGCCGACATGTTTACATGTTTTACTGCTCCCGCAGGCAGTTCGGGATGTCGTGGCGCCTGATCAGCCTGTTGCTGATAAAGTTCTGGACGACCATCTTCTCCGTGGTTCAGCCCTTGCCGGTGAGGTATCGTTCCTTCCACGTGGTACTTGCTGTTGTTCTCGGGGTCGTGTTTGGTCCTTGTTGTTGTTGTCGCTCCCCCATCCTTTTGGTTTGCTATTTGGGGCATGGTTGCTTTGCTGTCGCTCCCTCTGTTTTTTTCTTTTTTTTGGCTTGCTTTGCCTTGCTTGCATTGCTCGAGGGGCAATGGTCTGTTGTTGCCTATGCTGTCGGTGAGGACCTTGGCCTTCACGTTACTTGTTTTCCTTCTCCTGTCGTGTTGGTGCGTGGTTATTGTTGTTATCGCCCCCCCCCGCTCGGTGTTTGCCATCGGGATTGGGTTTTCGTCGCTTGGCAACGACGTTGTAAAAGAAGCCAATTCACTTCGTGAACTCGGCAACCAGGTTACCGTTTTTTTTTTTTACCTCGTTTTTTTTTTTTGGCGGTAACCATAATGGTGGTCGAGTAGATCATTTTGTGCCGGGTCGAGAAACCTCACTCCGCGCAACGGGGGATGATCGCACCACGTTGTGTTAATATTGGTCAAGCACCCTCGAGGCAGTTACACAGTGCTTACTACTGTCTCTGGAAGTAAAAGCACCAGAAAATAAATTAAGTCATACGTAGCTGTCATCCGTACGCAAGGAAGTAAGCACAAGATGCCGAACACCCTTAGCAGGATGCAGCTCACCCTTCATGCGACTCGCCAAATACCTCACGGTGCTTCGCGCTTGGTGATGTGAGAGCCTGGTCCGCTGAGAACCCGGCGTGCTCCGTCCCGGCTTTGTAGGGATGCGAGGTCAATGGTCTAACGACTACGGCATGCACGACTATGAGTACCCCCTCCTTTGAGCCTGGTCCGATGAGAACCCGGCGTGCT